GAGGAAATCCCTCCAAAGAGAGGCAAATCCCTGGTGGTCAGCATGGTCACCAGAACTTGTGTCCCAGTTGGAAGATTTCCCATCTATTCCTGTTCTGAAGACAACCCAAAATGTGGGATTTTCCTTCACTTTAAGTAATTATGGTCACCGGGACAAACGGAGAGGGTAAAACTCCTTAACATGGACACAGTTAGCAATCATAATCTGACAGATGTTCCCTATCCACTCTATCCAAAACTAAATAAAAATTTTTTGGCTTCAGTTGCACTGTTATATGTTTATAATGATCTTCATACTAGGTCCAAGTCAATGATTTAGACATTCAGCATGACAGCAAGAGAGTCCGCATGACAGCCAGGCAACTAGCATTTTTCGAAGCAGGTCATAAATGGCAGACCTGATTTCCCTTAGAACATCCCTCCTTTGAAATAAGCCCATATGGGTTTATGCCCTTGAGGAGTATGCACTACTATTTGGAGTTGCGTGAGAATTCCTTTTTAGCTGGCCAAATGCATCCATCAGTTTTATATGTAAAACGGTTACTGGCTTTTGGATTTCCACTTTCTAAATACCTTGCAGATTTTTGGAGCAAAGTTCAGCCGAAGAAGGAAAAAAAAAAACTTGTGTTTTCATTGATCTTGTTGGCTGGCTAACCCTGCTTCTCATAAATATGCTCAGCATAAGTCTCAGTTTACTGGCGAGGCTGGTTAGATGAAGAGAAAGGGGCCAGCTTCTCGGATTTGCAGTGAAAAATATAAAGCTGCTGGGTTTTGCCGTCCATAAAGCTGCAGACATGTGTTTTCCATCAGGCTCTCTTCTGTCTGACACCTGACATCGGACAGTCCAAATAAGTTAAAGTGAAGACAAACAAATGGTAGTGGGAAAAAATGGCTCTCAGCTGAATTCAGAGCTTGCTGACACAAGCAGAATCGTATGAAACTAATGTCAGGTTAGCAATAAAGTAGAGCATACTGATCCTTGTGCATGGGGATCTCACCTCAATTGGGCGTATTTCATACCTCCCAACTGTCCCTCATTTGGAAATCCCTCTGTCACTATATCCTCCCTAGTTGTCCCTCTTTTTGGTGTGATGTAAAGATATCTATGAAAATGTTCTATTTAACTACCAAAAGTGTTACTCTGCCCTAAAACCTTTATGTTATCTCTTAATTACCTTGTTTGCTATTTTGAAAAGCCAGTATAAGCCCCCTTTCACACGCACACCTGCCAGTTCTGATCGGCAGGGGATCCCTTGCTGATCGGAGCAATACGGATTGAATGTCAATGTTGTGGCATTAGTGTCCATCCAGTTTTTTCCTCCATCTTGCAATGGGGGAATAACTGAACTTACCAGACGTTAGGTCTATGTGGAGTCGTATGTAAGTGGACATCTCCCCGAATACATCAGATTACGCCAATCCATCAGTCGGGTCCCCCAAAACGGAACTCTATTCTGTCTTGTTTTCCAGACCCATACTAAAGGTGGCCATACGCTGAGAGAATTTCGGCTGGTTCTTGAGGAACTGGATGAAATTTGCACAGTAGGTGCCACTGTCAGCAGCCTTCCTGCTGCCATCCCTCTAACAGCTGATCAAAGGAGCCAGTTGTAAAATGTTCACATGAACAGAGCCAGCAGTCATTGAGCTGCCGGCTCTGTCCGGGTATTCTGTCAGATTTAGAATACAAAAGAAGCATCAGGAGATTCCTCAATCAACAGACTCGGGTGTAATGAAAAAAATAGAGCAATGTATGGCCAGCTTAACATTGGGCTTCCAATCTGATCCGCCTGAAAAACTGAGAGGTGCACCTGATCAGAATGCCCATCTGAAAAGGGCCTAAAGGAAAAGTAAGGGTGTGAAAAAAACAATTCTGGGTTTAACCAATCATTTTTTCTAGGTATGCACCGATACCGGTATTTCGGTACCGAGTACGACTACCGATATTTTTTTGGAGGTACTCGCTGATACCAAATACTGAGTACCGGAAGTCCCATTCAGGAAGCCCCTCATCATGAGGTGACGAGGGATACCGATACTAGTATCGGTATCGGTGCATCCCTAATTTTTCCAATAAAAATTGTGCTAGAAGGTGTCCCTCTTTCTCATCTCAGAAAGTTGGAAGGTATGGGATTTGTGGATATCCACAAACTGGCCTGGTTGCCAGCAGGATCCATTTAACATTTTATAATGTAACAAGATGTCAAAGTAAATGACATTTGATGGAACAAAAGCAGAAGTTGAGTTGCCCAGTTCTACATGGTGACACTGGATTCAGAGGCTATGGCCTTCTCATGGAATATGAGCACAATTACATAAAAATGTGGAGGGAATATTTGCTAAAGAGAAAATGGCCTGTATATGACAAGCTAATTTTCTCCTTTAACATTTAGAAGTAGATAAACACATACAGTACACGATCCAATTGTTGAATGATCCATACATCACCTTGTAGAGTTGGGAATTGTAAGAACATCTGTCATATTTGATTTACCAATTGCTATGTCCCCATATGGGACATATGCCCAGTACGGGCTAAGATTTTAAGCTGGACAAGTAGTAAAAGGAAGTCTCTCTACAGAACACACACACAAAGAAGTAAAAACACTTTTATTAGTGACTTAGAAAGAGTTTTTGTGGCCATCTGGTTTCACACTAGGGAGAATCTCACCACTTTTTGTCCCAGTGGCAGTGGTCACAGAGGCAGGAAGTTTTGGCTGGAGTCCACTTTAACAGATTAGGGCATGTCTGAGCACCAGCAAACATTCCCTGCTCTGGGGGAGAAAATAGTAAGAATGCCATTGGAAAACTCCAACAGCTGATTGACCACCACTCTTGAGAGTTGTTTGTCATTCACCTAATGTCTATGGGTTCCATCATCCCTTTACCTACTTGTGTTATGCAGATTCTGTGCCACCACACGCAACCATTCATTGCTGTTTATTATAATACAAATAATCACATTAAGTGATTGATAAGTTAGGATAAATATAATTTTAAATTAGTTTAGAATCCTAACGTGCAGCCCCCAACATGTCCAGATTCCAGAGGGCCACACAATAGTTGAGCTTTCCTGAATTTGTGTTGCGTTAATGCTCAGTTAAACCTTTACACTTCTGTGCATCCATTGTGGTGCAATTCATTTGAATGACACTCCACCTCACTGTTACAATAATGGGTAACGCACCCGCACTGCTGTGAACCACAATGTACAAGCTGTGAGCTGCAGTGTGCTGCATTAAAAAAAGTCATGTGTGATTTGTTAAAATTCTGATAACTTTTGGCGTATTTGGTGTATACCCTATGACAGGGGTGCCCACAACGTCGATCGCGATCTACCAGTCGATCGTGTAGCGATCACTGGTACATCGCCATGTCCTCTCCTAATAAGTGGGCAGGAGGGTTTTTTTTCATTATTTGTTTTTTAATTAATTTAGTACAGAAGCATTATTCCACATTTCATATATACACTTTCCCTGCTAGCAGCATTTCTGGAGAGCTCTTGTTAGCAGGAGCAGTAGCCCAGGAGATGATTACCGGTAATTCCGCTCCCAGGTTTAGTGCTGGACTGTGCATGCACTATAGTGCACACAGCATGCTGCCACTGTGCTCCGGACTTGATTAAAGGGAACCAAAGCCCTACTCTATCTAAAATAATAAAAAACAAAAATGTAAACAAACCTTTAGTAGGGAGAATTATATGGGGTTTCATTGCTAACCTAAGTCTGGACACATGCCTGTTGGGCTTCAAAGGTTTTTGAGTCACAGATCTGGAACAAGCATGCAGCAATTTAAGAGTTAAGACAGAATATTGGATCAGTGTACTTGTTTAAAGTTGGTCACCCAGAGGATCAGTGTGATAGCCATTCAGCTTACATTTTTTAGAAGGAGTAGTCAGCCCTATATGTTTCTCTCAGTATAGGTCTCCTTTAAGGATACACTACATTTGAACATTCCATATGATTTATTTATTTTTCTGCTCTGTGATCTTGTTTAAATATCTGGACACTCCCAAAGATACAGTTTCAAATACAAGAGAAATATGTGGCTGGGATTAGCTGAGGATCAAGTAGTATGCATCAGGGGTGGGTGGCCTGGACACATGTAGTGTTTCCACACGGATTTTAACAAGACATAATTTGATCACTGCAGTTTATATTAACACAAGGGAATTTGGCCTAACTGTCTTATCTTGTTCATTACTATTTCATTTAACATAACTGTCTTTCACATCAAGCCTGTTAAAATGCTGGTGTTTTTTTGTAGGTGTTATAACATAGAAATATGTCAACACCTTCTATATCAGCATGTCCTTTACGCCTAGTGCTCTTTGTCTTTTTTGGCCCACCTTGGCTTATAAACCTTTATTATTGTCCAGTTTTCATCTCATGCAAGTCTCATTTCATAGTGAATAAAGTTCCATGCAAACTAAATATATAGTTCTACATATTTGGTTATATCTATACAAGCAACTCGTAGACCATTGCTCATGCAGAAACTCTTGCTGTTTGACAGGCACTTAGCCAGACATAACCTATAAATGTATACATATTACACAGTTTTGGGTAAAGCCTGTCAGTTTTCTCACCTCCTTTCTTGCATCCTGATTCCTCCATCTCCAATCCTTCTGAGAGGCCTTACTTACATGGAAGGAAAGATTATCCACCAACCTGATATTCCATTAGGGTTTAGTGACCCCAACAGTTTGCATTAAGCTTAGCCTGATATGTTAAGGCCATCTTGGAGGGCATGGCCAGGAACTCCGTGGTAGACCTTTCTACCAGCCTACTGGGAAGCTTTGCCAAGGTGGTAGATAATAAAAATCCACCAAAACAACATAGTTGATTTACCATTTGACAATTTAAGTACAGTTTTTTCAATTGCTCATCCTGTTGTGTATACTTGAAGAAGTGTTTGCTTGACTTACAAAAAACACAAAAAAACACTGTGTTATCTAACATAAGCATTTAATTAATATCGGACTTTACCCATCTTCTCTTCTAGTAATGAATCACCAACATCAGCAACAGATGACTTCTAGCCCTGCCATGTCCCAACAGACTCACCCCTCCCAAAGTCATCAAGCAGCATTGATCAATCTGCCAAATGCACTCACTGCCCAGCAGCAGCAGCAACAGAAGCTAAGACTTCAGAGGATCCAGATGGAAAGAGAAAGGATCAGAATGCGGCAAGAAGAGCTGATGAGACAGGTGATAACACACAGAAGCATGGTGGCTGTTTAACACTTAAATCACCATCAAAAGTCTACCTGCTCCTCTGAGCGTGATGGATAAAGAGTGCAGTGATTCAGATCCTGTAAACTTTTTCTTGGTGTGTAAAGAATCCCCTTCCTAAACCTTATATTACTTTATGGCAAAAACATCCCCGATTGAGCAAAGATGTGATTTATGGGTCATATGATCATGATGTCACATAATTGACAGCACTCCAAAAGGTGTCAGATGTGAAGTAGATTGTATGGTACTAGTTGCGTTGGCACCAGGACACCTGCATTATGGTGTTGTTCACCCTAGAGCTATGCAACGCAGCCAAGTTAGTACTCAAATTAATGTATAATATTCACCTGTCTATTGTGATGTATGGCTGTATGTTTCTGCCCTCTGAACTTATAGGAGGCAGCAATAAGTAACTCTACTGTCCTCATTTTAGCTACTACTGTTTCCTCCTATACAATTTTGCTAACTTTTTTTTATAGTTTCTCAGTGACTTTTTGTTCTACTTCTCAGCTGCAGAAATTCCTTGTGCCTGAGTCATGTGTACAAAGACAGGAATTGTCAATGTAATTTACAACATTTCAAGTTCACCAAACACAAATACTTAAGTTAAGTGCGGACAGATGCACTTCTGTTTGTGTTCTTGCTCTGCTATATAAATACATATCCACAGATCCAGGCTATTGGACATACTGGATGCATGGAATAATATAAAGTCATTTTATCACAAAAAAGCCTTTTGCATCCAGTGCAACATCTCTGTATAATATGAAAGTGTAGTTCTTTTGCAACAGGCCTTGTTCTTCCATACCTGCCCAACAATGCCTATTTTAACTAGACTATCAGAATTAGCTCTACAAAATTTGATAGGTTTAAGGTTTGTTAATGTATTCATACGTGGTTTAGCTATAAAAGCTGTAAGACTGACAATTTTATCTATAAAATCTGTGACTCTGAGTAGCATGGAAAAATAGCAAGAGATAAGCGTACAACCGATCCAAGCCTTCTTTGTTACATTGCGAAAGTTAGCCAGATTGAGGAAGACAGAAAAGAGTATCACCCAGTTCTAAGAAACAGAGACTGTGAGCTTGGATAGTGAAATACAAAGATAAGAAACAGGAGGAACAAGTAGGGTGTGGAGTTATTTAATAGCCTACGATACTTGTGATTTACACTTTACATCTTGCATTTGTCATTTAGGTATGTAAATAAATGAGCATGTTACCAATTTGAACATGCAACTTGCGGTGGATCTGTGTAGTGTACAATGTCATCACTGTATTATCATCATCAAGGCAACATCATAATGTTATCAGCAGGAACTCTTTAGTTCTGAAATGTTTAAAGGAGAACTATGAGGTGAGTGCTTTTCACTCACCTCATAGTTCTAGCCGGCCTGTGACAATGAGACTGTCACAGGTCGGCTCAGTAGATCGGGAAGTGAGCGAACACATACCGGCGTTCGCTCACCTCCCGATCCTGTCACAGCTCTCTGCTGTGACAGGGGAGGGGCTGGATTGCCCCCTCCCCGCTCCGATCCTCCAGCGCTGACTGGCGGATCGGACGTAGCTTGCGGTATACTGTGGCGTCTCAGTGTCCCACAAGCTATAGCTCGCGGTATACTGAGCTTAGGGTGACAGGGGAGGACGCTAGTTTGTGTCCTCCCGTTACCCCAAGGAGAACTATGGGGAAAAGCCCTAACCCCATAGTTCTCCTTTAATAACCTGGTTTCCCACCATGACACCTATAGAAAGTCAGATTTACAGCATGGACACTGGACAGACTCCACTTCTTTACATTTGACATAACTGGTATTAATCTTCCCCTATAGCTCTTGCCTAGGAATATACAAATTGAACTATAAGATGTGAACTGTAGAACAGCTATAGATGGACTTCTTTTAACAACATTTTCACTTTCTAATAGAGGTTACTGTTAAGGGAAAATAATTGGTCAATATCTCCAGATTATAAGTCTATAGAGTACTTGTGAGGTTTTAACCCAGATGGAGCTTAGTAGGAACAAGACATGTATAATAACTGTGTTCATATCATTTTAGACAACTCACAAAGAAAAGTGGAGCAACTTAAACATTGCTATCCACTATTTTTATAGTAAGTAATCATATTTGTTGCTGAATTTCAAAGATAGAACCTGATTTGCTGCTTTGGACAATTGCTCAATTTTGCTCAAGTTTTTGCAAATAACGCCCTCCTTGTCTTGCCAACTATTGCAATCTTTGTTCTGCAAAGTCATACTATAATGTTTCACCACTACTGCTGCCACCAAAATATACTGAAATATCAGGTGCATCCAGCCTTTAAATAGTAGCGCCACAAAGTATAAATATAATTTCACTGTTTGCGTTCCCATCACTTTGTATCCAGGTTGCTGCCTGGCTGGTAAAATTAGATTTACTAATAATACCAAAACATTAACAAGAAAAGGTAAAAGGCATACCCTCTACCTAGTACTAAAATAGTTGGAGTTTCTGTAATCTTTGGTATGATTTAAAGTTGTTTATAGGACAGGAAGGTAGCAATTGTAAAAATCAATAACTACAAATTACTTCTGCAAAGTGTCTGCTGTTTTAGATACATTGCACAAGCTGATGTGACTCATTCAGGCATTGTTTATGATAATCGCGCAATGTAGGGAACAGCTGAGTAAGAGCAAGCACATGTAAACCTCACCTCGCCTAAATTAGCAAGAAAAGGGAGCAGGTTCCACGCTGCTTTGATTAAAGCAATGACGGGCAGTGACAGGCAATGACAGGCAGTTGCTATCAATTACAGAGCTGGCCATCAGTGGCCTTCTTTCTTAAACTATCCTCATTAACGTTTGCTGTTTGCCAGGAGTTGTCCTTTTTCACTTTTCTCCTTCAAATGCTCCACTGTATTTGTTTTAGAGGACCTAACGCTCAGAGTAATCAAGCTTAGCTTCATTAGGTCTTTGCTTCATATGTATGGTCTGGCTTATTCAGAGTATTCTAGAGAAGGCCCTTTGATTTTCTAGACAAGGAGTCTGGATGTCATGAAGCCATGATAGTACCTACTAGTTGAAGTCAGGTGGACATTTAATTCTGTGGTTTTGTTATTTTTTGTTGACCTAGAACCTCAGCTACTTTAAGCTATTAACATTTTAGAAGTTTTGTTCACTAAGGGTGCAGAGATCTGACAAATTCAAATAATTTCCAGAATAGATATATACAGTTTTCTCCTGATTTATCACTTCTCCAATTCCTCTGGCATGTTTTTCACCTTCAAGCCTAGAATAGTGTGGGACATAGGCCAGGAACTCCACTATTTTATGGTTTATAGTGATTCAAAAAGACATGATTGGATTCAGACTGGCCACTGCATCTTCACCAATCTTATAAACTTTGCTGGAATTGGCTTGAAGTTAATGAAGAAATTGATGAATATCTACCGTGTACATGATTGCTTTCTACAAGAATTGCTTTAAAGTAAATATCTAGTACAATATTGATTTTTGTTATTGAGGCCAATGGTAAATTATGCACACTGTAGTAAATAATATTCACACAGAGAGTGTTTTCCTTCATTAAAGGTTACATTAATAAAACCCATGACAGCTTTCAACCTTCATCAAAGACTATTAGAATACAGAGCTCCTTGCTGTGATGACTTAATTGTAATAAGTACATTGTCCCCAAGTTAATCCTTCACTCTTGCCATATTATCCCTATTGTAACCTGCATCCATGGAACTGCTGAGTTAGTACTGTAGGCGGTTGCCAGGTTACTGGAATGAGGCGGAAGGGCCCGGGTGAGCGGCTGTGGCATTCCTTTGGCAGGTCTCGCCATTCTCTTTTTAACCTAACAGCAGTTACTGGACAGCTTTCCAACCACTCTAGACTTGACAGCTGCTGTGCTGAGAGCAGACACACCCAGCTGAGACAAAATAGCAGTTTATGAGAGTTATCCTATCAGGGTTTGAGGTTCTCTAAGGTTAAACCTTAAGACCTTTGTGGAAGAGCTAATTAACTGCAGTAAAGTCAAAGGGCAAAGTGCTTTTGTCTGTGGGTACTCAAATATTGACCATGGATTGATACTGGTCTCCAAGATAAAGGGGATTTCCATAATTTAGAATGACCATCTCCCTCAAGATGATTTAGTTACTTCTGTTTAAGGCCACAGAGCAATCACTTACTTCGTATGGCCTTGTTAATTGAGAGCAAAAGCCCATGCTGTTTACTTTGCTCTGCAGAATGCAGTCCATGAAGACATACAGAGGCTCTTGTAGGCAATCATTATATCAGTGTTATCAGATAGGTTACATTCTTAGGCTCACCAACAGGTGGCACTGAATGTGTTCTGTGTTTGCATTCCATGATTTTCTGAGAACTCCATCTAGCAGTACAGTCTTTCTCTTCTAAGGATATCAACCCCCTTTTATAAAGGAAACCAGTACTGAGAGAGAAATGTAGGCTGCTATTGTTGAAGTCTCCCTCTGAAATGTCTGGTTGCCTGGCTGTTATGATGATTTATAGGCTTTAATACCAACTTAGAGCAGGTATGCAGATCAGAAATAATAGTTTAATGCTTGAAATTAGGTTAATTGAAGAGGACTTCGACATAGTGGGTATAGCGGAAACCTGGCTGGACAGCACGCATGACTGGGCTACTAATATAGAGGGGTATAACCTGTTTAGGAGGGACAGAGGTGGGAGAAGAGGGGGGGGTGTTTGCATTTACGTAAAAAATAATCTATATGTGCATATAAGGGACGATATCACGTCAAATAATGGGGAAGACGTGGAAACTCTATGGCTGGAGCTAGATATGACGGACGCTAGCCGTAAACTTCTCGTGGGTATTTGCTATAAACCTCCAAATATAGGGGAAGAGGGAGAAGTCAATCTTCACTCACAGATAGGAATAGCTGGGAGAGAGGGCAATGTAGTCGTGATGGGTGACTTCAATTACCCAGACATAAATTGGGCCAATGGAACTT